CCCCTGGAAGAAACGAGTCACCTGCAGACAAGTCCGAGCTGGATGTCCACACAGAGCACGGGCCCGCTGAGCACTCCTGTGCGAGAGAACCCCACGGCCAGCGACCACTCCTGCTCAGAACCCCCACGGCCAGCGACCGGCCGCCCTGCAGCAGAGGGCATCGTCCGCTCGTCCCGATCGTGCGCGCCCACCAGCGGGTACTTCTCGGCAGAGGAATCCACGGGTCCGCTTGACATAATTTACCGTTTCCCTAAAATAACGTCATCATACCTGAGAAGACGGCAAAGCCTCAAAGGCCTACTCTGCCCTTTAAGATTTTTACTAATTCAACATTTGTAGCACTAAACTTCAAAGCACGAGTTTCTCATCTTACACAGCTGTCTACAATTCACCCTGCATCTTTAAAAGTTAACATGTTTACTAACTTGCAAAATACCTGTTCTGCGTCGTCGACATTTACACGTTTTAGGTCTTCCCTTCTCATTTCTCTATTCTTTAAACCTGTTTAAAACATTATCGCAATATGATTTAATAAGACGTTTTTTTCCCTACTAAAAATGCTCAAGACCATTTTTATTTGTGTCATACTCACTTTATTACGACCATTTTGAGGCGAAAAGGACACATCTAGAACCAAAAGATATTGGAACCTGATTTAAAATTAAGCCTCAATAAATAATCTCTCTGGAATCATATTTAGGATGGCCAACCCGGTTCCAGTAAAATGTGTTCTCATTTACATATTTAATTCCTACCCTTCCATAGTGTGCCTCGAACAGAAAAGATTCAACTAATTTTCAAATAAACCTAGAAACGCAAATATAAAGTTAAACACTTTATATTCACGAATATAAAGTTAAACATACACACACACACACACACACGCACACACAATAAAAATACCAGCCCCTAAACTGCAGATTATACCATGAATATTTTATGAAACATAGTTATAATAGAAAAACCTGAAAAGTGTGACTGGTTATTAAGTGATATCTCCTTTCTTCAATTTTGTGATTAACAGGTATTTTATTGGTAGTAAACTAGAGCAAACAATCAGAATAATACATATGCAGTATTCAGTACACACAATAAAAGTTAAAGAAATTCAAAACCTGTATAAAACAAAACACGGGAGGAAAATACAGCTGGAGATACAGCGGGAAGGTCCTCGCCATCCTGATCGCAGCTTGTGCTCTGCACCCGACAGGCTCGACCGCACTCACGAAATGAGAAATACAGACTTTTTAGAATTGAGTGTATTTAAGAGGACTGAACACATTTTCTGAGAATCTTCAATGACAAATAGGTGACCCTTTCGCTGGTAAAGCACGCTTAAGGGAGGAAAGTGGGGGAAGGAAATTAACTAGTATTTTGTAACCATTTTTAATAATTTCTTATTTTCCAAACACTGCTTTCATAACAGAAGTGTTTTACACTCGCACAATATTAATCACTTTATTATACATGGAGGCCTGTGGCAGGCTGATTACACAAGACTGCAAACAAGCAGGCGCACTGCCCTGCGTCAGAACAGAACGTGAGACTGAACACCAAAAGTACGTGAAACTCATCCGCATAAACACCAAAGCACGTTAAAAATATAAGCAGAAAAAAATACAATTGCTAAAAAGTGGTTTAGAGAAGAGCCACTGTCCGTGAGGAGCTGCAAATGGCAATCAGCATCGATGGCAAGTTCGGAAGGCTTCAGCGGAGCCCTGTACAACACTGACTAACGCACCCTTTACAATGCACAGAGAGGCTGCGGTCCCACCAAGAGCTTCTGACGTCACTGCAACGCAGTCACGCCGACTCTTCCCATTGGCTGTATCACCAGCTGGAATTACCTTATTGGTACCTACAGCTCTGAGTATGCGGGCTTGATTAGACATGAAACCCATATGGGTTTGCTTTTGTCAAAGGGAGGGGGGACGTTCACCTTATGGTTTAGTATTTGGATGCCATAGGCATGTGAAATGCATAATGAATTACCTGTGGAATGTAAATCATTCTAAAAATTGAAACTGTCAAGACCGGAAGAGGGAACAAGGCAGGCCCAGAACTCTTAGAAAGAGGCTAGATGAAGAACAGCAGCAGCAAAAAAAAAAAACCCACCAGAAGTGTGGGTGGCATGTAGTAACACAGACAAGAGGACGGTGTCTTTAGGCCGTGTATAATGATAATAACGCATACCCCAAATTTCAAAGAACTGTGTAATTCCAACTTGATTTCTAATACTGGAACCAGCCATTGGGCTTCAACACTGCTAGATGTCAGCGGGCTCTTGATGACTTCACAGCCTTGATACAGCGGGATAAGGAGAGGGTGCTTTTTTTTTTTTTCCTTCTTTTATTAAAGCTATCATTCCAGGCTTTGATCAAAGATCCAAGAATATTTGTTCTACCAGGCTGGAATGAATGTGGTCTGGAAGTTCAGAGTACATTTAAAAGCTGCAACAAAATATAGGTAGCCAACATCTCAGAATTCTGGATCAGCCCAGATGGAGACGGCAATCTGAAACGTTTTCGATCCCTAACTTAAACGATGAAATGTGTATCCTATCAGCCCAGAGAGAGCAATCTGAAATGTTCTCGATCCCTTACTCAAATGATGAAATGTGTATCATACTATCTGTAAATTGGATATTCCATTACAGTGATAACGTACAGAATTCCCATGCGTTATTACTTTCCTGAGAGTGAAGCAATTAGAATAACCTTAATCCTAGCAACAAAGTTTTTTTGTTTGTTTTTTTTTGTTTTGTTTAGTATTTTTTTGTAGAGGTTTTTTTTTTTTTTTTTGCATTTAAAACTTTTGGGCTATTCCCTGACAATCTATACATGTAAATTTGATTGCTAAACATTGTCACTTTGAATGTCAAACTATTTTTAATCTATTGATTTTGATTAAAAATCATAATACAAACAGAGCTAAAATCACGCTAACAAAATAAACTAAATATGAAAAGTTGCATTGAAAGGGCATTACATTATTCTTAACAGGATCGTGTAGAAACATTCCAATGGCAGTGTTCTCAAAATCAAACGCATCACGGTCGCCCTCCAGCCTGGCCGCCAGGTACCTTACCTGTAGCTCTGGCTGGTGGGCGTCTTCACTCTCGTGCTGCATGGCTCACTGACATCGGACATCATACTCGTATACCCTGAGAAGTCTGACACCGAAGTCCTCACTCTATGGTCCACTTCTCCATTAGAGGTACTGATAAAGGTCATTGGCACCCTGCTGCCCGACTTAAACTGAGAACCAAACGCCTGTGCAAAGTTCTCAATCTGGTAGGTTGTTCTAGGCTCTATGTCTTTCTGAGGGTCTATCTGGCTAGCTAACTCCTGAGATGGAATCTGAAAGCCCGCGGAGGGCTCTAAGTTCTTCTGCTGCTCCTTCTGGCTAGTCAGTTTCTGAGATGAGGACTGAAAGGCTGACGACGTCTCTAAGTTCTTCTGAGAATCTATCAGGTCATCCAGCTCCTGAGAAGGCGTCAGCTGCTGATGGGGGGCATCCAGAGCAGACAGGTAAAGACCTGGCTGAGATCCAAACAACATCCCAAAAGGAGGCTTTGGCAATGAAGACGGCAACACCGAGGTAACAGATTGGCCGAAACCACACTCCAACGGAGACGTAGTGTAGATTTGTTTCTCTGGGAACAAAGTGTGGTTGTGGAGAGGTGAAGACAAACTGACGAACTGGAAACCGTGTCCAAGGGTAAAACCTGCATTAGTGGACTTTTCGAAAGCCTGCTGGAGGTATTTGGAGTATTCTTGCAACATGCTCGCCTTATCGCTCGAAGGGGTCTGGGTGCCGGGGCTCAGGTTCTCCTCTTGAACCAATTCTGAGTGCTCCCCTGAGGCGTGCAAATCCACCCGCGGCTCCGCTATGCTGAACGGGTCCTCCTTCTGGCTCTCCGACTTGCTGGAGTACTGATCCAAAATGCTCTGCAAAACCTCGTCGGGGATCCCAGACTTGTCGTGACAAGACTTGATTTCAGTATTGAGGGCCGAGGAGTCGATGAGTGACAGTGGGGCCTCACTGTCCAGAACGCTGACCCCCGCGGACTGAATGACGGACTGCTGGGAGACCACGTGTCCCACGTTGATAGAGAAGGCACTGTTGCTGCTGGCAGTTGGTAAGTATCTTCTTTTCTTGGAAAACTGCATGGCGTCGTCATAGTTGCTGCTGATCTGGCCTTGTTTGCCCGCTGCACCGTGGAGAAGGCCGATGGCCTCCACGCCGGTCCCGGAGGCTATGCCGAGCGAGCCCCCGGGCTTCCCGGACAGAGACTTCTGGCCGACTATGTCTGGTAGGGGCGACACGAAATTCAGGTAGCTCTTGTCTGTGCTCTTCCTGCTTCCTTTCTTGAAGATCAGCTTCGGCACCCTCTTCTGCAGGTCGTCCACGCCCGCGCCCACGCCGCCCGCGCCGGCGGCCAGAGGGGGCATCTCCACCGAGTAACTCTGCATGGCCACGTTATTCGCGATCTGCGCCTCGCTCGCTCTGGCCGCCTTATGCTCCTTGCTGTCCACGGCCACGCTCTTCGCCTTGGCCTTCCTCCTGGAAGAGCTCGCGGTTCCCTGAGACGCCGCAGCCAGGCCGCCCGCGCCGCCGTGGGCCGCCGCCCCCGGCTCTGCGCCCGCCGCCCCCTTGGCTATGGCTTCCCCGCACGTGCGCCTGTGCTTCAGCAGCCGGTCGGTCCTCGAAAAGTACTGCTGGCAGGTGTCACACTTGTATGGCTTTTCTCCGCTATGTGTCCGCTTGTGTCTCTCCATGTGGTACTTCTGGATGAACTTCATGCTGCACTGGTCGCAGCCGAATGGCTTCTCGCGGCTGTGGATCTTCTCGTGCCTCTGCAGCAGGTACTTCTGGATGAAGCCCATGCTGCACTGGCCGCACTGGAAGGGCCGCTCGCCGGTGTGGATGAGGACGTGGCGGCGCAGGTGGTAGGAGCTGCGGAACGCCGCGCTGCAGTGGTCGCACACGTGCGGCTTCGGGCTGGCCGACAGGAGGGCGCCGGCGCCGTCCGCGGCCAGGGCCGGCTTGGAAGGGGCGCTCGGCTTCCGCTTGGCTTTGGTTCCCTGAGATTCTGGCTTTGGCCTCTTCGCCTTCTTGACGCTGCCGTCGTGCTTTGGCTCCTCGCCGCCGAGCAGGGCGTCGCGGGGGTGCTGCGCCGGCGGCGGCGGGCCGTGCTGGTGGAGGACGCTGAGGTCCTGGATGACGCCGTGGCCGCCCCCGTCCCCGCTTCCGCCCAGGCCCGGCGACCTGTCGCCGGCGCCCGCGAACAGCCCCGCGTAGTGGTGGTGCTGGGGGGCCGGCGGCTCGTCGGGCTCGGCCGGCTTCTCCTGCTTGATGCTGACCAGGGACTGCAGGAAGCCCCAGGGGGTCCTCTG